AAAAGATCAGCTTGGGGGGCGGGAGGGGGGGGGGCCCGAATGACAGACGGGAGTCTTCCAGGCAGGTACACACCAAGCTTGAGCGGCGGCATTAGCAGAAACGAGGGGGTTTTAGCAGAGTTTTTGGCTTCTGCTCCAGTATTTTTCGTGACTCGGGGGCGTATTCCCCGTGGTCTGCAGACAACCTCGGGCTGTTCTCTCAACTTCACCAAGTCTCTGTCTGTGTCTATCAGCCTGGGATCAGTGTGCTGCTCTGAGCTTCTATGTGTGTGTGTATGTGTGTGTGTATGTGTGTGAGTGTGCCCACGCTGTCTGTTGCTTCTATAAAACCAGCCAGAGCAGACTGGGACCGGGGGGGGGAGATTGACAGACAACACTAGCTCACAGGCACACAATAATAACTACACTAACACACCCATGCACTGCACGTGCACGCCGAGACAAACACACTGCGCATGCAGTTACAAGTACAGACGCCCACATTTGGTGTGTGTGTGTGTGTGTGTTAGGTTGGGAATCGAGGGGCTTTTTTTTCCCCTGGGTGCCAAGTGCCGACAGGACATCGTCTGCTGGAGGCGGTTATCTGAGGACTAGCAGTGCAAAGGGATGGGGATGGGGGGGGGGGGGGGGGGGGTAAGGAAGGGTTTTCACCAGAGCATATTGCTCGTGCTTCACCAACACAAAAAATCTGTGCAAGCTGAAAAGTCTTCACCATAGTATGAAAAATTACCACCTCGGATGAAAGTGTTCCTGCCTCTAGAAATTCTCAGGATTTGAGGACAGAAGCATTTAAACAGCTACCAGGCATGTTTTTTGTTTTCTTTACCACTTTGAGGCTACACAAATTGCACAATATTGTTCACAATAAACTAACAACCCAAGAGTCAAAGTGGCATTTGATGAATTTGTTTGAGAAATCCGTCAATGGTCCTTTTCAACATTTAAAATCTGCCATGGTTCAGGATATTAGGCTGTCAACTGTCCCTGGAACGAAAAAATTAAACATGAAAACATTTTATCTTAATACAAATTATTGAAATTCTCACTTTGTATAATACAATAGCATGTAATGATGGGTACGCACCATGGTCATACTTAATTAAGATGGGAATAAGCACTCCTCTGTCTGAAATGGTTGGACTTTGAACCATTTCTGACTTCAAAATAGTTGGAAACATTGGCGTTTAAGTTTTTTCCTCGGTTAGCACAACTTTTGATGACTAGATTCCCAAGTTTACAATCCATCTTTTCAAAAGTCACCCGCTGATTGCCTTTACACAGAATGCAAGATCGTTCTGGGTCCTTTCACAGCAGACGGCATTTGTATGATTATTCCAATCACCTGCTAATAATTTTTCAAAGTGCCATCCCTATGCACTCCCAGGTCCAACTTCCTAAATAATGTTGTGCCACAGGCCAAATAGTTCTTTAGATTAAGTTTTTCTGTGTCTGAATCACATTTATTTGTCATTTGTAGATGAGACAGTGGGAAATGTTAACCTGAGCAAGAAGATTTAAAAGATTTTTCTTTTTACTGTCCAAACATAACCCAGTTTCCTAAACTTTTTCAAACAGAATCATCCTTCATGGGGGCAATTGTGTTGAACACTTGGCCTAATTGTGCTTTATGGATTGATTACTTGATGGCGTTTTGTGAATTTTGAACTCACATTGAATCTTATTAAAAGCTGATTTTCTACTATTTCAACAAATCTGTGTCCATTTACATTCCTACACTCATAGTTTATGAAAAATATTGTGATGGTGTTAGCTGTCATCCATGATTAGCTCGTGGACCCAACACGACACGAGACTATTCAATCAACTAGTTGTGGAGGACGGGATTAGAAAAACACACAGCCAGTGCAAGATTACAAACGCACAGGGCGCAGCGGAAGGCTGCTCGCTCTCCACAGCGTCCTCCTTGTTTATGTCCAGGAGATGTGGTAAAGGAGAAGGCAGCCGGTGGGGAATCCTGTATGATGGTGTAATCTGGGCTCCATGCTTAGACACAGTACATGAAGGACAGGCTTATCTCCGGAGGGCTCACTGTGAAACAGCTATGAAGGCGAGGAGGGGGGAGATATTGAAGCTGAATGGTCCTTAAGGAAACTGCACGTGCTCTGCGAATTTACACGTCGATGTGGCAAAGCGATTAAACCTTTTATGCCTTTTCAATGCTGAGAAACACAATGCATCTGCAAAACCTGAATACGGGTGTTTTTGTCCCGACCGTGTCACGTTGCCGTTGAACGGGTTTCTGTGGGGATTTAAAGCGAAATGTGAGCCGCAAGCAGGAAAGCAACCATTACGTCTTGGAAATTTATCTTAACATGGTGTCTCATTAGTTTTTAAACTCATCTTATTGTGTCTGAATTTCAGTGTGTTTATTTATTAGTCCCGGTAAGTGAGTTGATTATCATTTTTCACATATCATACTGTCAGATTCTTCTTTAAAAAAAAGCAAAAAGACAAAAAAAACGGCAATTATCGTTGTCATCTCTTAAGCAGCAGCTCTCTTCATGCTCTGACACGTTCCTCCACAGCCGCAGTAGTAAACAAGCTATTTTTGTGACTTAAAGCACAGTCTGTTACGCTAGTTGTTCTCGCTCGAAAACCTCCAGTGCAACTTACAGTACGTGCCTGTGCTTGCCAAGGCCTTTGTTAAGTTTTCACCTCCTCTCCCCGGGGACGTCTCCTCAACCTTGTGTAACCCCACTGTCACATCAACCCGTCCCAGGCAAGATGACACACACTCATTCCCATTCCAGCTTAAGTTGCCATTTCACTCTCCCGCTTTTGTACTTGAAGCACAAATCCCAGCTCTGGGGCGGATCCCAACACAACAACAATGAGCCGCACCGCTATCTGTGTTTTTTTTAAAACCGGCACTACCAGAGGAACTCTGGATCGCAGCCAAAAACAATTCATTCACACAGAGCTCCTCACACGCCCATGCTATTTGGCTCTTTTATTTTGGAAACTCAACGCAGCGGCCTCATTCATCATTGTTTGGACTGCTGCGAATATGTTCCCGTTCCTTTTTTTTTTTAAAGGCGGGAGGCTGGGGTACTGTAAAACTCACAGAGCCACCTGAATATATCTAACATTAATAATTCATCCACAAGCTATTATAGTTGTCGGGGGTATTTGCAGATGATGACAGTCATCAGGAAAAAAAATGGTTATGTATTTCTAGAGTCACTCGAAGTTCAGCCGGGGATTTATCTTTATCCACGGCAGAATCTGCATTAAGTTCAGTGAGTTTAAAAAGGAGTCGTAAACATGGCTGTCTGTAAACCTGAATCCATTTTTTACCTTTTTCTTAATCTAATCTTTCCATTCTGAGCTCCGCTCCTGAGGGCACGCACATACATCTTCATTTCACAGTTAGTTTGTTGTCTTTGTCTCAGTCTCTACCTGCCATCAGGACCACCGCCAACACGGAATTGTACTTTATCTGCGCTTCTTTTTTTCGCCCCCTTTTCATGATTCATGATGTCACCAGCGAACCACTGACTGTCTGGACTTCATCTTAGGAGACAAGGGTATTGAGTGGGAGTATTTATGCCTCATATCTCCACACACCCATACAAAAATCCCACTGCTATCAGCTTGATGACTCGAACAGTCAAACATTTGGCAACCAGCATCAGACATTTTATGTCTTTTCTGATAAGATAGCCCATAAATGACTTACTGTAGACTCCCATTCCCTGAATCACAGCCGTTCAGTCTGTTAAGTTGACATTTTATCAAACTTTACTGTGGTGACATGGCTGAAGAATTACTTTGTCAGTACTTTGTGAAGACTGAAACAACTTACATAATCAGGAATGAGTGGAATGATTATCGTTTAAAGACCTGCAAACTGACAAGCAGGTGTATAGCATATGCACATTACGGCTTTTGTTCGTGTTATTTCTTGGAATGGTGAGAGAGTTCATAGCTCTACAAGTTGAGAAAATGCCAAATGAAAAATAGCCCAATAAAATAAACACTGCATTGCTTTGTGGTAATATATTAAGTATTGACATGAAATGCATACACCATGGAAACAGTGGCAGGGCAATCGAGTTTAAGATACAACTTCCCTTTCAATGATAGACGCCAGTTTCCACACTCATTTCAGGAATGACCAAAGTCCACTTTCAGGGTCAAACAGGGACGAGTAGGAAACATTTTTATTGACTGAATCAATGGATGTGTGATAAAGTCCGTTTTGATTACTTTGTTGACTAAAGTGGATCTTCATCTAAAAAAATACAGTGAAAAATACCTTTTTTTTCTCCTTTTGACATACTCTCGTCAGGTAGTGTTAGGGAGTGAGATGTTGCACACATGAATCAAAATATAACCGAATGAAATGTACTGTACAGAATAAGTGGATGCCATCTTAAAATAAAGAACGGAGCAGTCATTGGTCCTTGTCACACCAGACTTGGTTTGGAAGAAAACCAAGACACATCGTCATCATCAGAGTTGGGATCACGGCATTACACCCTGTTAAATAATCTGCAGTCAGGGGAATCGCACCAGGGTTTGTCAGCCTCTGAAAGGTGAACAAAGCCTCACATGAAAGATCAAATTATGTTTCATTACTATATTCTTCAGAGCTTTATATGCTGGTTTTGGCAAGTACTTTTTACCTTCACTTTCAGTGTGTGATTGAGTCTAGATGATTGATTTTAGATGAGGGAAATGATGTTGAAACGTAGGTTCTTGTGGTAGGTTTTAACATTTTGATTATACTGGTATTATTTTTTTTTTATATGTTGCTTAATGATCAGCAAAAGAAGTCCAG